CCTTAAAAAATGTCTGCAACCCTAATCATCTTACACAAATATTCCTTTGACAATTTCTTTGGGATATCTGAATCTGTAAACCTGTTTTCCTTCTTTATTAATATGAAGACAATATGTAAGACTACATCGGGTATGTCTTTGTAATTTGTTAATCAAATTGATGTAGTCTTGCTAGTCATCACTTAATTCATTGATATTTTTTTTAGCACAGATGCCATTCAGGAATAGGCATATCGAGTCTTAGATTTATTATTGTAACTAAATTATTGAGGTATTGTACAACTTCGTTCATTATGTTTTCATCTTCTTTCATCTGCTTCCATTCTATCATAGGTGCATTTCTTCTTTTTCTGATTTCATGCACGTAAACACTGCCTCGATGCTGCTATTCGAACCTATACCACTAATCCTCTAAATCCTATTGTTGTTTTAAAACGTTATTAAAAAAGATTTCAAATCGCTTACTGAAAAACCAGACTGCAATATGGGAATTGTCAACAATGTTTTAGTTAATGCTCTGAATGGTTCAGTTCAGTCCAGATTATAGGCCAATCTGAAATCGAACTGAACTGTAAACCAGTAAAAATCTGAACTGAACTGAAAATTTTAGATTAATCTGAAATTTTGGATCGTTTGGAACGATTCTTTATCATTCTTTTGAAATGATAATTTAATTGTTCCAATCAAACGATTTTCTTATCGTTCGTTTAGAACGATGTTTTAATCGTTCCAATTGAACGATTCTTTTATCGTTCGTTTGGAATGATAATTTGATCATTCTAATCAAATGATTTTCTTATCGTTCGTTTGGAACGATAACTTCAATTGTTCTAAATGAATGATTTTCTTATCGTTCATTTGGAATGATAACTTTAATCATTCCAAATGAATGATTCTTTATCGTTCTTTTGAAACGATAACTTTAATCGTTTCAATCGAACAATTCTTTTATCGTTCGTTTGAAATGATAATTTGATCATTCCAATTAAACAATTTTCTTATCGTTCGTCTAGAATGATAACTTTAATCGTTTCAAATGAACAATTCTTTATTGTTCATTTGGAATGATAATTTAATCATTCTAATCGAATGATTCTTTTATCGTTCATTTGGAATGATAATTTTATCGTTCCAATCGAACGATTCTTTTATCGTTCATTTGGAATGATAATTTGATCATTCTAATTGAATGATTCTTTTATCGTTCGTTTGAAACGATAATTTCATCATTCCAATTGAACAATTTTCTTATCGTTCGTTTGGAACAATAATTTCATCGTTCTAATTGAACGATTCTTTTATCGTTTGTTTGGAACAATAATTTCATCATTCCAATCGAACAATTTTCTTATCGTTCGTTTAGAACAATAATTTCATCGTTCCAAACGATCTGAAATTTCAGATTAATCTGAAATTTTCGGTTCAGTTCAGATTTTTTTCGGTTTAGATTAGATTTATAATCCGAAAAAAATCTGAACTGAACCGAAAATTTTCAGATTGAAATTTTTGCAATCTGAAACTGAACCGAAGTTAATCTGAACCAAAAATTTTCAGATTAATCTGAACCGTTTGGAGCTTTAGTTTTAGTGGTATTTGGCCAAAATTTCAGAATTATTGCTAGTTGGCATAAGTTTATGAAAATCAGGCCAGTGCAAGTCAGCAGCACTAAACGTGAAAAAGATCAAGCCTTGCGGTCTTATTTGCTTAATCATATTGGACAGTTCATAGTATTGCGTATTTCAAAACTGACAAGATCCACGTAAACCTTCACTAAACCGCATAATTCTATTAGCGATATAGTTATCACCTTAGGCAATTTTTCTTGAATATTCATAATGGTGATTTGAGTATTGGTAAGGTTTTGCTTAATATACACCTTCTCTTCTTGTAGTGCTCGCTAACGCATTTGGGAATTCAATGCAAAATATCGCTAATGAGCATGACACGCAAATCTTCTATCTCTATATAGAAGGAGGTGTTTGAAATATTCAGCAGATTTTACCTAATACGCTCTGCACGAAGATCTGTGCATCTAGTCAAATATAAGGTTGGGAATGCACATGCGATATTTTCTGGTATTTGAAATTCATTAATGAGATTGCCGTAGATTTATGGCCATACAATAGGATTGTTTTCATCCTGTATCTTATTGAGAGTATTCCTGATAGCAATGTCTTCATAATTGATCAAGGGAAGAAATGGAACAAAGATACGTGTGATTACATCATTCTCATTTTCATAATCATCATCATCATTAATGTCTCGAAGCTGGTCATCAATTGAGCCATCAATTGGTAAAGATTGAAAAACTTCATAATCAATGATTATATCAGCGTAGTAATGATTATTATCTTTTAACCAATTTAATGCACAAGTAAATTTAACACGATGAACTCTGAAATTTCTAAATGCTTCTGAATTACTTATAGATTAACGACGTATGACAAGCACACCTAACAATGATGGATGTTGTGAAAGCTTTATGGCAAATTCTTAGACATTTTGAGAAAAGTTAATTATGTTTTCGCGATATCCATACTGTTCTTCACGAAGCCTGTAGATTGACATCACAGGAAAAACTCGCGCAATTAACATTTCCTCAACTTCTGTAAGGTCTTGAAGCTCATCAGGAATTTCACCTGGATCCATATTATTATCTGCTGAAAACTTTTTTGGAGTGATCTTCTCACTATAGCAATGTCGACATTCCCTTTTTACAAGCACTATGGATGGAAAACTTTCATTGCACGTAGGGCAATGATTATGTTTAAATTTATCAACCTTATTTCGAAACTTTTTTAGAAGATTTTATACATCATCGGAAAGTAGCTCAGCACATGTATCTGCGCTAACTGAGCTACTGTCTCGAGATTTTTGCTGCGGTTGTTCCTGTTGTGAATTTGGGTCTTGATCTGTTGTATTTTAAATATTTTTCAGATAAGTTCTTCGTTTACAGTAATAATCTAGGCGTTTTTTGCGTTGTTCATCCGTTTCTGTTGCTAATTTTACGCATTTTTGTTCTTTGTCACGTGCAACATATGCATCTTTTTCTTCAGCATTCTCTTGCTCTTTTTTGCTGCCTATTTTCACATTGCTTTGCAAGATGTGTTTCACGTTGATCAGATGTTTCATTTTCTCTGGCTTTACGCTTTCTAAGAGTGTCCTTATAAATTTATTATCCATTATGTATACTAAAGAGAAATTCTATAGTGGCTTGTAATTTGCTTTTATTAATCAAATATCGCATGATTGACATACAGTATGATCGGTATATCAAATTACCATATTTTACTTTATGTTATATTCTATAAAATAAAAATCGATCGACACATCAAATTTTTTTTAGCATTATATTTAATGTTATAAAAATCGATTGGCACGTCAAATTTTTTAGTGTTATATTTTATAATAAAATTGTATTAGTATTTTTAATTAGTGATCCATTTTTTGCTAATAATATATTTCTAACTTTAACTATATTCTATAAAATAAAAATTAATTGGCACATCAAATTTAATATTATATTTTATAATAAAATTGTATTAGTATTTTTGACTAGCAATACATTGTTATTAATATAATAATATATTTAAAATTTTTCTAATTAGTTTAACTTTATTTAATTAGAATATATATGAATAATTAGTAAAATTCATAAATAAAACTAAATTTTTTCGCTCCGGACTTATAACGGTTTCCGTTTCCTAGTTAATACTATTAAGTAGTGCATTCCATTGATGTCCATTACAGCATCCCCATAAGAGCGGAGACATGATATTATTATATTTTTCTGAGAGACATTTACCTTCTTTATTAAAAGCCAGATCTCTTGCAATTTGGAGATCAAGTTTTAAAGAATTATCTTCACATACTGGACACCAACTACCATGCTGTATGCTATGTAAACTGGCTTTTCATTCATGACACTTTGCACAGCTCCACAATAATGGTTGGTTGGTATCAATATATTTTTCCGAAAGGCAATTGCCATTCTTCTCACGTGCTAAACTTTTTGCAAATTCTATACTATGTTTCAATCCACGCTTTGCACAATAGGGACACCAAGTGTTATTATTTTTTACATTATTTAATGATGTTTGCCATTCATGGCCTTTGGCGCATTTCCATTTTAGAGGGAATTTGTTATAAATATATTTTTCTGATAAACATATCCCTCCTTTACTAAGTGCGAAACCCCTAGCTGGTTCTAAATTTTGTGATATTTTGTGGCATTCAGGACACCATGTATCACGATTTTTTACATAATATAGTGATTTATGCTATTCATGACTTTTAGCGCATTTCCATAAAAGTGGAGAACTGGAATTAACATATTTTTCAGATAAACATTGCCCATTTTTACTATGAGCTATCTGCCTAGCTTCTTCGATAGTATAAGGTGCATTTCCTGCACAATATGGACACCAATTTTTACCGATTTTGATATGAGAAAATCTTGCTTGCCACTCATGACCTTTCGCACATTTCCATTTCATGAGTGATTGGTAATTAATATACTCTTCTGAGAGGCATATTCCTCCTCTTTCCATAGCTACTGCATTCACGTCTTTTAATGTATATTTGATTCTCATTTCGAACAATAATACTTACGGCTTTTGTAATTCTAATTCTAATTAATAGGATGTGGTTTACTGCCTTATGCGAGAAAAGTAATATTATTAACTCCAATCAAGAAATATTTTTATATCCCACCCACACGAAAAAAAATGAATATATATGCCACCGGGGTCACTTTATTGATACAGAAAAATACATTATATATATATATTATAGGATAAAGTATAAAAATTATAGGTTATATTTAGAAAGCGTAAAGTAATAAAAATTTCTGAAAAAAGATATAAATGTCAACACTTAGTGATATCATCTTGACAACTTATGATCAAAATGAAGCGCGTTTTGTTTCTTCAAAATACAAATGCTCAACCCCAATTTCGGTAAAATCATTTATACACAATTGATTTTTTGTAAATAGTTTCTTATGGTTGCAGACCAGCAATTGCGACCCTGACGGGTTTTGGCGAAGGGGTAGGCATTCTAACATAGGAAGAACGTGATGGTGAACTAGGCGGGCTGTTAGAAGCAATTACCGTTAAAAGTTCAGAAATGCGATGCTTAAAATCACAAAAAAAGGTTGTTAAATGGTTGGTGCCGATTTTTGCATCAAATGTAGTAAACAGCTACAATCTTAACCACTTACTTTAACATTATAAAATGCTTCCAAAACTGGCAACAAGCCTACAATTTTTTCCCGTTCGATTGGGACACATACATCTGCAACTAAGATCATCCTGTATATTCCGTCATTATTAAGGTCCATCTCGTAGATGCGAATATGCTCACCTTTGAATGCAGTCAAATGTTAATAAATACACTAAAAAGTCAATCCAAATTGTGCATACTTACCACATACCCATATACCGAAAGAATCATCCCGATTCTATTTCCGTATTTTTTTATTAGCTCATCCAAGGTACCCGCCTGATACTCAGCAAGTTTGACTAGATATTTTTTGACCAATACAGAAGAAGAGTCCCTTGGTTTAACTTCCCCGAAGAGAATTTCATCTTTAGTATTGGTCGAAATTTTGAAATCGGGTTTATTACCTTTAACAGTAACATTTTCCTTATTGTTAAGACGTCGACTTTTTGAAGCGGAGCTCTCGCTATTTGCCCTTTTAACACAAGTATACAAAGGATACTCAATAAAAATGAAGATTATATCCACGCAATGATTACAAACTAACCATACTAATTCTAACATCGGGTCACGAAAAATCTCACTGATCAAGTTATGTAAAGTGTTGTGAACGAAGGTATCTTCGTTATCTTTATTAATAGAGCCTAATAAAAAGCTGTAAAAGATATTAGCATCGAATTGGTTATGAACGACAGATGTAACACTGACAAGTTTCGTAATATGATTTGGCATTTGCAAAAAATAGCTCTATCCCCTTTATCCAGTTCTGTGACTCTGGAGAAATTTTCGCACCATTTGTCTTCCATTTCTTCCAATGGCGTAAAAGAATTTAACAACTAGAATAGACATTGTTTAGTCCTGTAGTGTTATTTAACACCTAATCTGTAAATCAGAAAAAATCTTACCAATGAATATTCCAGAACTACATTGTTAACTGTCGATGACAAATAAGAAGACGTTTTCCTTCGACAAATAGTATTCCAACTCGAAAGATCGCAAGATAAGTATGTCGGTTTTATCCGCTCAATCAACATTATATTAGATAAACATCTATTTTATCACGAGAATAATGAATATAATAAAAAAATCACAAATCCACGAATTCAATACTTACAGAATTTTTTGAATATCTTTGTAGCACAAATACGGGTTTTCCTTGACCTGTTGAATCGTCATCTTTTGAAAATCACGGAACTCATTGGAAAGATTGTAATTTTCAAAAATCCACTGAAAAAGACATGTATAGTTAGTTAATGTACAGTAGATACAACCACGCTATTTACTCACATCCTTCTTTGAAATATTTCTAAAATCAATCTTGTCGATGACATCTCCCCACGAATAAATAATTTTTGTTCGTTTCCTAGCATCGTAACATTCTATATATATAAATATATGTGTAAGTTAGATCCTCTCAGAAATGTTGCAAATACTAAGACGTTCTTCACGATTAAATTTAGAAGACGGATCACCTTGATTTATTTTCGAATTTCCAGACTTTAATATCGAACTTTCATTTGACTCCATGAGACGGGGTTCTTTCGAGATATTATTATCAGAACTTTGCTGAGAAAAATTATTGATTTTATCATTCAAATTCGTTAACGAAAAGTAATATTGGAATAAAGTTGCCATCATTATATATTGCGAGGCATCCATTAAAACACAACTACCTGATTTTCTTGTTCATCCTGTTCACGTTGAGGAGTGGCATCGTTAATTTTTACCCTTTTTGGGACTTTATCATTGTTCTAAGAGTTAAATTGTAATTCATTAAGAACAAACGCAAATTAATAGTTCTAGTTAAAAGCTATGCATCTTTACCTCTTTCTGATTACTCCTCTTTGGTGCAAGCTGTACATCGAACACTCCTCCACTCATAGGCCCATATACACCATTTGTTATTCCTCTCACTGTCCCGTTTATAGTTGAACGATGGATATTAATCTGCGTATTCGAACGCGTCTTCTCCCATTCTTTGCTCTTTTTTTATCAGGACGATTACTCTAAAACGATAATTTTAGGAATTAGTGGTATTCTTAACTATCGTGTTTTCATTCCGTTTAATACTTTCATATCTTGACATCAGACAAGCTCGAAGGTCATCTGTGTCTGACTATGCCAGTAGGCTCAAGACTTTTAACTCGAGGCTTTTAAACATCAGGCAAGCTCGAAGGTCACCTGCGCCCCAGCATAGCCTTTGTGGCTCGGCTCGAAGACTTGAATGATAAGGGAGCTCGAAGGTCCCCTACCACGCCACTTACTCTTAAAAAACCTTTGATATAAAATTCTAATACTTGCCTGTCGAGGAGCACCTGCGCTTTTTCACACCTTTGACCATTCTCAGTATTGGCTATCAACACGAGAGATGATAAGTAGCATTCTATTTTCTGTCTATAAGACCCTATACTTGTACATTCCTTGAGGAATCTAACAATATCCCAATCTGACACCTTTCGTTCGAAATACTTGTGTATCTATTTTGGGGGATGAACAAAAGGTTAAAGTCTAGATCGCAAAAAAAAGCAGTTCATTCATACCGTTTCAGATGTAGACATGGTTGAGTTGTTTGAGTTTTAGAGTATGTTGCGAGATGTTGTCATACTATATAAATGAAAACACGTTCGATACGCGTCCAGTTGGATCAACATGTGACTTTTTGATTTACATATTAAAAGTTTAATATACTAAATATAAAGATTAAAAATTAATTTCAAAGTCAAATTTATTAGTTTATAGACTTTTATTTTTTTCATTTTTAATAATAATGATAATTTTAGAGAACAAAATTCTATAGAATTATTTTCTGTATTATTACTTGAACTAATTAAAATATATAATACAATAATAATAGATTAACGTAAAAAATTATATAATTATAATTTTTAATAGTGAAATAAAATTTGAATAAAATTTACTCTTATCATTAATAATGTATCAATAAAATTAAATATAATTTTCTTATTATTTGATTAAATTAGAATTTTAATAATTTATAAATTGTAAAGATAATAAATTTCATTTACTGTATATTTTAAATAAGAATATTTAGATATATCTTAATTCTAACAAATTGATTTTAATAATATTAAAATTATTTTTTTTTTAGTTTATATTTTTATAAGTCTAATATATGCTATTATTTATCATTTTTCAAATTTTTACTTAATCATTTTTCTTTTTATCTTTTATAAATAATATAGAAACTTTTATTAAAAATTAATTTATATGAATTATTTTCAATATTAATACTAATTATAATATCTGATTATTTTCTAACTTCTTTTAATTTTTATTAGTTATAATTTAATGCTCAGTTATAAAAATATAATCAGATTTTTTAATTAGAAGATTTTTTAATAATGCTTAAATTATTAAAATTATTATATTAGCTATATATATCCTTTTACTTTGTAACTTAACTAATTTTATATCAAAAGTAGAATTTTTTCAAATATTTCTTTATAAAAAATATTGTTAAATAATAAAATTTTATTATATTATTTTAAAAATTTATTATGAAATACTCATAAGACATCATATATATCTGATATAACTTTTATTAACTTTTTATTAGATTCTTTTAACTTTAATTGTATATAAGATATTTATAAAAATATTTGTAATACTATTTATAAAATCTATAATAAAAATTATAGATATATTATTAATAAAAACTAGAGCAATTACTTTTATATGCTTCACAGTATTTATGAGATTTAATTATTAATATAATATTTATTTACTGAAATATTTTATAATTAAATAAGATATTATTTGTTAATTATTCACTATAAAAATCATATTCTTTAACTTCTAATATTCTTACTATTTTTGAATTTGTATAAATTACTTAACTAATAAGTAAAATATATCATAATAATTCTAAGGTAACTTTCTTCTTTAAATATTTATGAAAATAAAAAGCATATAAAATATTATTATTTTAAGATTTATTATAAGTTTGTCTTAATTATATCTTTTAAAAGCTATTATTGTTTTAATTCTTTAATATTTTGAAGATTACTAATATTTTTATATAAATTATCAAATTAATACAAAAATCTTATATTAATATTTATAATTAAAATTTTAATAATAGAAATATATACATATTTTTATCAAAATATTTTATATAAATTATCAACCATATGTATTTTATATATAAATGACAGTAAACATGAATGGTATATTTTTTTATAAACTAGAATTAAATTTTAATTTTATATATTTAAAAAATTAATGTATTTAATTTAAACCTATGCTTATATTACTATAGATATTTTGTATAATGATCATTTGAGAATATAAATTTGATAAAATAATAATAATTAATTTTTTAAGAAATATCAATAAATTTTAGATACTTTTCTGAATTTTATTTGAAATTGTTTTATTACGTCAATCATCTCATTAATTATTTTTCTTATTAGTTGAAAAATAACAGAAATAAAATATTAATAATATATATTATAATATAAAATAAATAAATTATTATAAATGTAATAATTTTTAATTTTTTTTTTTTGTATTTCTTTTTTAAATTAAAATTTTTTAATTTCAGTTCTAATTTGAAAAGTAGCAATAAAATTTTTTTTATGTTTTTTTTTATTTTTATTATTATTTTATTTATTAATTATTTAAGTTCCTTTTTTTTAGATAAATCTTTTAAGCTAAATCTGTAATTATTTTTTTTTGTTTATACAATTTAACTATATAAATAAGTTTTATTTTAATATTAATTTTTTATTAAATAATTTTTTTAGATTTATAATGAAAATTAGTTAATTTATTATGATAAGTTTTTATTTTATTATTATTTTATTTTTTTAGACAAATTCTTTCAAGCTTAATTTATAAAGTTCAGAATAAGTTAAGTTGAGTCAAGTTTAAAGATCAACTCTATTTGACTCTTTTTTTTCGAATTGAGTTAAGTCAAGTTTATTTTATAAAATCTTTCAATTTGATTTGATTCGAGTTATAAAAATTTTAAACTTGACTCAATTTGACTCAACTCGAGTTTAACTTGATTCGATTTTGACTTGAATTTATTTGAGTTGAGTCAAATTCAAATTAAGTTTTGAGTTAAATTTAAATTTTTATAAACATTTAAATGTAAAAAAAATTTATACTCACCCTTATTTGTAAAAACAAAAGATCTGCTTCTAGAAAAAAATAAAGTAAATTAAATAAACCTTTAAAAAATTTTTAAAAAAAATTTCTAAAGTATATTTACATTTAAAATAAAAAAATAAAAAATAATAAAAAAGAAGTAAAAAAAATAAAATAATAAAATGAAAAAGGTCAGAAGGGGAGAAAGAAAAGGAAAAATAAATTAATAAAAAATTAACGTCAAAAATCAAAAAAAATAAAAAAAAGATTGAGAAAAAAAAGAAAAGGGAAAAAAATAAAAAAAAATAAAAAAAAAAGAGAAAAAAAAATTTAAATTAAAAAATAATAATAAAAAAAAATTAATTAAAAATAAAAAATAAAATAAAAAAATAAATAAAAAAAAAAATAAAAAAAAATAAAATCAAAAAAAAATAAAAAAAATAATAATAATAAAAAAAAATGAAAAGATCAGGGGAAGAGGAAGAAGGAGAGGGAGAGAAGAAAGAAAGGAAAAAAAAATAAAAATAATTAGGACCTGCAGTTCTATAAAAAAATAATTGTTCAAGTCGAATGATTCATTATCATTCTTCTTGAATGATTTTTTTTATTATTCAAGTCAAACGATTTGTCATTATTCTTCTTAAATAATTTTTTTATCGTTCAAGCTAAATAATTTATCATTATTTTTCTTGAATAATTTTTTTTATCATTCAAGTCGAATGATTCATTATTATTCTTCTTGAATAATTTTTTTTATCATTCAAGTCAAATGATTTATTATTATTTTTCTTAAATGATTTATTTTATTGTTCAAGTCAAATGATTTATCATCATTCTTCTTGAATGATTTTTTTATTGTTCAAGTTGAACAATTCATTATCATTCTTCTTAATTGATTTTTTTTATCATTCAAGTCAAACAATTCATTATCATTCTTCTTGAACAATTTTTTATTGTTTAAGTTAAACGATTTTCATCATTCTTCTTGAATGATTTTTTATTGTTCTTCTTGAACAATTATTTTTCTATAGGACTGCAGTTTTAGAATTATTTCAAGTCAACTTAAGTCAAGTTGAGTTTAAATCGAGCTGAGTTAAATATTTAACTTGACTTGAATTTGACTTAGCTCGCAAATCATCAAGTCAAAAAACATAAACTCAACTTGATTTAAACTTGACTCAACTTATCTAACTTATGAGTTAACTCAACTTGTCTGAAACTCTATTAATTTATAAGTATTTTCTTTTTGATTACTTTTTTTTTAGATAATTTGACAACTTTAAATTATATAGGTAAGTAATTTAACTTTTAATTAAAATTTTTCTTAAATAATTCTTTTAGATAAAGTTTTATTTAAAATATAAACTGCATTTTAAATATTTAAAAATTTTTCAAAATAATTTTAAATATCAAAAGTTATTTTAAATATTAAAATTGCTTTTAAATATCAAAAATTAGTTTAAATATTAAAAATTATTTTAATTAATTTTAATAATTGTTTATTATTTTTTTTAATTTAATTATTTTTATTTTAAAGTATTAAATGAATCCTGTCCAATTCCATTTCTTATTCTTTTTTGTTAAATCATGTAAAGGTCCTGTAATTTTTGCAAAATTTTGAATAAAGCGTCAATAATAGAAGAATAATTCTAAAGCTATTCTAACTTTTTATAGTGTTTTAGGCATAGGTAGGTTTTTCATAGTTTATAACTTTTTAGAATCTGACTTGATACTATTGCTTTCTATAATATATCCTAAATATTCTAACTCGTGCAAAGCAAAAGAACATTTTTCCAATTTAATTTTGAGATTCACTTTTTGAAGTATTTGTAATGATCTTGAAACATAGTAGAATAGATTATGATATCATCTAAGTATATTACACAAAAGTTTTTAATAAGTTGATGTAACACTTTATTCATTAGATATTGAAAAGTGGCTGATGCATTTTTCAGACTGAAGAACATAATTATAAATTCATATAATCCAGAAGGAGTAATAAATGCAGTTTTCTGTTTATCTTTTGAATCCATTTTGACTTGTCAATATCCACTAGCAAGGTCTAGAGCTATAAAGTATTTAGCAGTTCAAAAACTTTCTAATTGATCTTATACATGAGAAATAGGATAACTATCAGTAATAGTCACATTATTTAGAGAATGATAGTCAATGCAGATTCTCAAATCTCTAGTTTTTTTTGGAATAATAATGATAGGAGAGGTCTATGGACTTTTAGAGGGTTGTATAATACCTTTTTCTAATATTTTCTTGATTTCTTTTTCAAGAAATTCTTTTCTAATAGCATTTAATCGATATGGATGTTGAACAATTAGTTTAATATTTAGTTGTAAAAGTATTTGATGACTAATATATGAAGTTTGTCCAATATCAGTTCCACTAGTAGAAATTACTTCTTTAGGTAATAATAAGATAATATGTTTTTGTT